TCTTTTGGTTACAAATCACACCTTATTTCCCACATCAAAATTCATACTGGAGAGAAGCCCTACAAATGTAAAGATTGTGGGAAAGCTTTTGGTAAAAAATTACACCTTATTCGCCACAGCAGAACTCACACTGGAGAGAAGCCCTACAAATGTAAAGAATGTGAAAAAGCTTTTGGTTCAAAATCACACCTTATTCGCCACAGCAGAACTCACACTGGAGAGAAGCCCTACAAATGTAAAGATTGTGGCAAAGCTTTTGGTCGAAAATCAGACCTTACTTGCCACAGCAGAACTCACACTGGAGAGAAGCCCTACAAATGTAAAGATTGTGACAAAGCTTTTTGTCGAAAATCATACCTTACTCTCCACATCAGAACTCACACTGGAGAGAAGCCTTACAAATGTAAAGATTGTGGCAAAGCTTTTGGTCAAATATCAAACCTTATTTGCCACAGAAGAACTCACACTGGAGAGAAGCCCTACAAATGTAAAGATTGTGGCAAAGCTTTTGGTCAAAAATCAGACTTTATTTGCCACAGGAGAACTCACACTGAAGAGAAGCCCTACAAATGTACACAATGTGGCAAAGCTTTTTGTCGAAAATCATACCTTACTTGCCACATCAGAACTCACACTGGAGAGAAGCCTTACAAATGTAAAGATTGTGGCAAAGCTTTTGGTCAAATATCAAACCTTATTTGCCACAGCAAAACCCACAGTGGAGAGAAGCCCTACAAATGTAAAGATTGTGGCAAAGCTTTTGGTCATAAATCACACTTTATTCGCCACAGAAGAACTCACACTGGATAGAAGCCCTACAAATGTAAAGAATGTGGCAAAGCTTTTGGTGAAAAATCAAACCTTATTTGCCACAGAAAAACTCAAACTGGAGAGAAGCCTTACAAATGTACAGAATGTTGCAAAGATTTTGGTCACAAATCACACTTTATTTGCCCCAGAAGAACTCACACTGGAGAGAAGTCTACAAATGTAAAGATTGTGGCAAAGCTTTTGGTCAAAAATCACTCCTAATTTACCACAGAAGAACTCACTTTGGAGAGAAGCCCTACAAATGTACACAATGTGGCAAAGCTTTTGGTCAAAAAATAGACCTTCTTCACAATAGCAGAACTCACTGGAGAGAAGCCCCACAAATGCAAAATATGTGACAAAGTTTTTACTCAAATATTACACCTTATGTACCACAGAATTTACACTGGAGAGAAACCTTACAAATATAAGGAATGTGGCAAAGCTTTTAGCAATAAAACAGGCCTTATTCACCACAACAGAACTCACACTGGAGAATAGCCGTACAAAAGTGAATAATGTGGACAAGCATTTAATAAAAAAAAAAAACTTTATTCACCACAGCAGAAGACATCCTGGTGAATGTGAAATGTGAATAAAGTAATAGTACTTTTAAAGAAAGACTAAACCTTGGGTCTGGGGTTGTGGTTCCGTGGTAGAGTGCTAGCCTTGCCTGTTCGAGATCCTGGGTTCGATCCTCAGCACCACATAAAAATAAATAAGTGAAATTTAAAAAAAAGAAAGAATGATTTTTGCTATATCACCCTTAAACTGAACTAGTCTATAGGACAAGTACAGGTTCAAGGATAAGAAAAAACAAAACTSCTGAGAAATGACCACAGCCACTTCAACTTTGGTTTTCTTTTAAAACAGCCAACAAGCAATGCAAAAGATATGCACGAGATGAAAGATCCAAGCTGGGTGGATATGACTGAGCCTCTCTTTGTCATGACAAATTCCTGGTGTTCAGTGACTCCTATAGCCCTGATTGATTGAGATGTTTACTAAGTCAGAGGAGCCTAGAATCACAAGCTTGTGATTAACTAAAAACCTTTAGTTGTTGGTGGTGTAAAGGTATATCAGCCTACATAAACTCATGTCACCCTGTTACCATAAAATACTTTTCTTACATCTGTTTCTTTACTATTTTTTATTCCTTTCTATGTCAGGCTTACATGAGGTTTCATTGCAGGGTCTTTAGCCATAACTAGCCACAGCTCTTCATGCTTTTTATCACTTGTCCTCATCATCTTTAAAAGTCAAGTGTATATGAGAACATTTTTGTTAATTGAGGTAAAATTCACATGAAATAAAATTAATCATTTTAAGGTGTATATTGCAGTGCCATTCAGTACATGTTGTTATGCAGCTATCACTTTTGTAAAGTTCTAAAACATTTTTTGAAGATATTTTTTAACCTGTTGCATAATGTCTTTAAATAAATGACTGGAGTMTGTTTCCATCTCTTGGTTTTTAAGAGCTTGTCTTAATGGCTAACTWTCCTAGTATTTATAAGTTTATTTGTATTAAAATATATACAATATAAAATTTACTACTTTAATCATTCCCAAGTCTATATCTGTGTTAAATATAATCACACTGTTTTGAAACAGTAGTGTCCCAAACTGTTTTTCTCTTGCAAGSTGAAACTATAAACAACTCTTTATTTCTCCTATTGCCTACCATGCTGCTTTCTGTCTTTATGAATTTTATTACTCTAAGAACTTCTTATAAGTGAATTCATACAGTATTTGTCTTTTTGTGACTGACTTATTTTACTTGGCATAATGTTCTCAAATTTCATCCATGTTATACCAAGTGTGAACATTTCCTTCCTGTTTAAAGCTGAATAATATTCTGTTATATGTATGTACCATGTTTTGTTTATTGATTCAGCTAATGATGAACAATTGGAATGTTTCTTCCTCTTGGCTATTATGAATAATTCTACTGTGTATATGTATATACAAATGTCTCTTTTGAAACCTCCTTTTGATTCTTTTGGTTATATAACCAGAAGAGGAATATCTGGATCATATGGTAATTCTGTTTTTCATTTTTTGAGGAATCTCCATATTGTTTTTCTCAACATCTGTACTATTTTCATACCTACCAACAGTGAACAAGGGTTTTAGTTTTTCTACATCCTTGCCAAAGCTTGTTATTTCCTGGGGTGTGTATATGTGCACACATGTGTATACTTGTGCACAGACATTTTTTTTTATGGTAGCCATTCTAATGCTTGTGAAATGGAATAATATAAATCAAACTTAGCACAGAAAAAATTATAACGGAGGAACTAGGGTTGTAGCTTAGTGGTAGACCCCTTACCTAGCTGAGTTTTGATCCCCAGCACCACAGGGAAAAAAAGAAAGAAAGAAAATTATGATGGAGGGTGGACCTCATTTAGAGAGAGTGTCAAAGTCTAAATCTGAATACTGTGCCTATTGATCCTTTCCATTCCATTGTACCCAAATKATAGTTTCAAAGACTTATGACAGAGAAATCAGGAAAACTTAACCGGGAATTGGTCAAAACAAACCCCAGCAAACTCTCTTGGTAAAGAAAATAAATTACAAAATTTATGTACATTGAAATTTGTACAGAATAAAACTATCCCCAAAGCATAAATACTGACTTGGTATAGTATATAAGTTTTGGTAGGGATTTAACAATCTTAAATAACATTCCTTTCTCTACAGATTTATTTCCCTAAGTTTTTACACATTGAAGAAGAACTGAGCTGGGTGAAGTGGTACACACCTATAATCCCAGTGGCTCCAGAGGCTGATGCAGGAGAATTGCAAGTTCAAAGCCAGCCTCAACAACTTAATGAGCCCCTAAACAATTTAATAAACATCTTGTGGCCTTGGCTCAAAATAAAAAAGAAAAAGGGCTGTGGGTGTAYCTCAGTTATTAAGCCTCCCTGAATTAAATCCCTGGTACCAAATTAACAATAAAACAAAACAACTGATAATAGTTAGAAGTAGTAACACTCTTTAACAGTAATTATTACATTATTATATTGTCGTAGAATCATTTAAAGTCAACAAGCCAACTGTGAGCAATGGATAGAGCTCAATAGTAGAACCCTTGCCTAGTATGCACAGGCCCTGGCTTCAATTGCAGTAGTCTTTTTTGTTAAAGTACAACCTTGCTTTATTCATGAGTGTGAGAGCCAGAGACAAAGTGAGAACATGAGAGTATTTAGTTTAATAAGGAATAAAAAAAAAAGCCCTAAAGTTTTTTAAAAGTTTTTTTTATTAAAATGGTCAGACTGAGAATCTGTGCTTTATAAGGGAGTTGGTTCTTTTTATCTAAAAAAACGSTATCATATGAATTAGCTCACCTTTAGTGACACCCAAAAAATGACATATACAGATTAATGTGTATTCACGTGCTCAACAAGATTGTCACCATCCTTCCTGTATAAAACCCATTTGTCCTCTTTTTCTGGAATTATCCTTCTAATCTCTATTATCGCCTTTCTTTGCCTGCCTAACTCCTTCTTTGGTAGGTATCTTTACAGAAAATTTCCTACTTGTCTTTACTTCACAGTCCTTTATTTTTTTTTTTACTGGTGGTATTATAGCATACAGCATTTTCTCTGTTATACTAACATTTCAGTCAATCTGTTTTCTTAAGTATTTGACTATTGAGACCACTAGTATGTCCTGAAACAGTAATAGCTGAAGAGACAAATTTGATGCTGTTGTGTTTAAAATTGTGCCATAGCATATGTCTTGACATTCCTCCAGGAATGTGAAGCCATTAGGTTGTAAGATGTGAGTCATAGTGTAAAAAAAATATTTGGATCAATGAACCAGAGAATAAATAATTGAGTCTATATATAATAGTACAGTATTAGACTTAGGCATTCAGTATATATACAAGCAGTAAGGTGAAGAATTTAGATTTGTAAAGCATAGAAAAATATATGTATTACAGAAATTTAAGTTTGTGTAGAGAAAGAAAGTTGTGGCACAATAAAACTGTGTTATAACATTTAGTATGCATGAGGCACTGTGTTCAATAGCCACTAACAGGGGAAAAAAAACTTATGTTATAATATCATTCTCTTCCTTTTTCAAAACATACATGACATTGAGAACTCAGAGCAATAAAATTACAGTGAAAGGGGAAAGTAAAATTCGAGTAGGAGAAAATATAGTCAGACATAAGACTGATTAAAAACTCTAATTACTTGTACATTTTCTTTTTTCAAAAAAATTTTTAGTTGTTGATGGACACAGCATTATTCTGTTTATTTATTTTTATGTGGTACTGAGGATCGAACCCAGTGCCTCACACATGAGAGGAAAGCTCTCTATCACTGAGCCACAACCCCAGTCCCTACCTGTACATTTTCTAAGTRCAGATGCAACTCAGAACTCAATTCAAAAAGGAAAACCTTTAGACTAGAACTTCACAGTGGCTATGAGATCAGTTATCTAAATAACTACTTATAGTATAAAAGAAAAAATGATACTTATTTTTTAATATCTTTAGTACTCCTATCTGATGTGATTTTATTCTGTGGTTTTTATAAATAAACACTGTATAATGTAGTGAACAAGTATCCTTGATAACATCCTTTGAAAAAATTGATAATTTTTTTCTAGACTATGTTGTATAATAGTACAGAATTATGAGTAATGWTATCCTCTAAGGTTTTTAATTCAATAAAAACAGTTTTTCTGGGAGCCGACATGATATAGTCTGGTATTCAGCTTCTTTGCTGATTTGGCTTTATCTAGTGGTACAGACCACTATATTTCTACCAAAATCAACTTCCTCCTTCTTTGTAGACACACACAATGAACACTACATTTACCAACTTCTTTTGAAATAAGATGTGGCTATATGACTAAGTTTTCTACAGTGTATTGTGAGTGGAAGTCATGTGAGTCAATTCCTCACTTGGGCTCCTAAAAATATTCATAATGTGTTTCTCAGCGATTTTTTTAACCCCCTTGATTGAATAAAACAGGAGCATTCAGGGAAACCTTGGAAATCATGTATTGAACATGAGTGAGTAGCCATCTGCCTGGATCCTTGAATGACTATGTGGAAAGAGCTGCACAGCCTACCTAACATCCACGCCAAACTGTTAAATAAGAATGAAATATGTTTCCTCACTGCAAGCTGCTTAGTCTTGAGAGTCAATTTTTTTATCTCAACTTAGCCAACCCTAACTAATACAATATTTTAGGAAATGTAGCCGAATAAAAGTTGAACTAGATTTAAGGGCTGAGTGTCATCAAGACATGTTCTTTCTCCATGACATGACTGAATTGATTTCATTCATAGATAGTGGTTCTAGGTCTATGTGGTTTTTGTATCATGATCAAAGACCTTAAGAGTGTGTTTTCCTAGAAGTTCCCCCAAAAGTTCTAGGAAAACTCTGCTTGGTTCAGGCGGGGTCACTTTTTGTGGTTAAAGGGATGGAATACTRTGGCCAAACTTGGTTTACATTCCTACCTCTAGGTGCAATGATAGTCCTACCCAAACCCTGGGCACAATACATGGCATGGAATACTGAGTGAGATCTTAAAGAAATAATTTATGAACAACAAAGAAGAGATACCAGAATACAGTATGGCTAGGTTTTTTAAATCAATATAGACATGAAACGATAGTGGCCTTAATGAGGGAGCAGGTATAAATATAAAAGAAA